TTTCGTCTCTCTCTCCTTTTTTCTTTCTCCCTCTCCCTCTCTCTCTCTCTCTCGAAACGTAGTAAAGCAAAAAGCCAGAACCATATTAACAGTTAATTGAATAATTCTTTGTCATCACTGATATCACTTCTTTAATTAATAATTTTAAAAAATATATTAATTATGGAAGCATAAAATATCTAATTCACATTCTTAAATTCATTTCATAAATTAAAAATGTTAAATTTTTGTTTGAAATGTGAAATTTTAACATGCATCCGTATTTTACTATTGTTGCTACTTTTTTTAGCACTGAAAAGCCATTAAAGTGTCACTAATCGAAAAGTTAAGAATGAGTTAAAGGGAGGGAAAAGATAGGAAAAGAGAAAGAGTAGCATATTTCATTTCACAAATAACTTTCATTTTTATTATAAATAATTTGTTGTGTATGAAAGAAATGACATTATATATATATATAATTGGATAATCGCTTCTTCCAATTAATAATTAATTTGCACTAATTTCATGTGAATACCGTTTGGTTTGTATAAATATTATCATAAAAATAAATCGTTTTCGATTAGTGTTTGTTGCTTTTCATTAAGCGATATTCTTGATAAGTTAGAGAATATAGAGGAATTGAGAGGAAAAAAAAGAATGGAAGAATATTCCTGGACAAAAGATTAGCAAGCAGTTATCCTGTCCTGTTCATGCATTCCAGCACGTATCGCTCCTCCCGATTAGCTTAGTGTTCAGAGGATAATAATGGCTTGTAATTCTACTTATTCACGTATTATATCCTTATAACCTATAATGTGTCACGTATTAACCACTCTTTATAACTCTAAACATTCATATCTCACGTGTCAAACGTTATTTTATGACCATTTATTAACATATAGATTATACTTCAAATCATTCATATTATTTCTTGTCAGCAACTGTTTTTCGCAAGAAAGCTCGTAATCAGTTCATTGCCTTCAATGCATAGTTACTATACTCTTTATGCCATGCTCAGTTCAGTGTTTATTCCTATGTTTTTACTTGACAAGGTTTGCATTTTCAAAATGATTTGATCGGATGGGCATGCTGGTATTCGCATTTCCCACTTTTCAGCCAGCAATAGCAACTATAGACAAATTCCAACGCCAGTAATATCCCTTACTGCTTGCTTTCACCGCTGCCGCTCTGGTGACGACGTGTCGAAATGTCACACACAGACAGATACAGATACACACGCACATACACACACACACACACACAATATTTTAAGCCTTGATTGTCTTCGCCATGTACAACCTTATCTGACGTTTTCGTTTCATAAGATCTATACGTATACAAAATACATCACCATTCACTTCGCGCTTTACGTAAAATCGATTCTCTTGTCCATACCAGACAGTTATCATTTAATTCACTTATCAGCTATTACTCTGTGAGATCTTTATCTGTATCTGTGAATAACTACTTCCGAGATATCATCAAAACATCAGAAGTCTGAGTTCGAGATGGATAATAATTATATGAAGTAGCATGCAGATCGGAGTAGCTACTTGTTGAGAAGTACATTAAGGTGATAGATTGAAAATTTTTAATCCTACCAGCATTTACCACCAAAATAGATGTTTGCGAATTAGCTGCGCTGACACTTTCACACGTATTTGTTAAGAGTTTATTTCCTAGTGGATGGAAATGACGGTGTAGATACTGTTTCCTCATCGATTGCATAATTGAAACTTATGAAGTGAAAAGTTAAAATTTAAAGTATGTTATTCTAAAGTTCGTTATATTCATTCATCTTTTAATTCCAATAACACTATACACTTCTAAAATTATACCCGTTATAAAAACTGTTGATTCTATAATTCATAGAAATCATTTTTAATTTAGGAATCTCAAATCTGAAAAAGAAACGGAGTACGGTATTTTATCCGCTGAATTTACCGCTGAATTTCTGTCCTCTATCAAGTGTTATATGATGTCTTGCTTTTTTTGACGTATTGCTTTTTTCTGCTAAGCAAGTTATGCACTTTTTATCACGTTAATTCTTCTCTAGTGGCCGCATATATACATCAAAACTGTAACATTCCATTTTCCCGCTTTTTTCCTTGAACTTTTGTTGTTTTATTTTTAAGAGGTTTTTCAGAAATTTTTTGCCTTTCTCACTAGTCCGCAGTTTGGTGAAGATTTGTATTTCAAGAATTTCACTTTCTTTCCTAATTTGTCCTCCCCCGCAATCTTGGTAATTTCAATTGGCTCTCTTTTTTCAAGTTGTCATAACGAAGAATGAATATGAATTGACTGGAAAGCTTTGTCCCTCTTATATGCAACCAGTCTATCCAGAGCTTTCTTATGGTGCACTCTTGGATGCGCAAAATTTGCATTTCTGATTTTATCGATTTTTTAGCATTACTGGATCTCTTTCCTGCCCTTTAAAGATGTCTGTCTTACAATTGAATTCTGTGATTACTCCTTGGATTCTGGTGTACAACTTTTCAGCTGTAGATGTCTAACTGACATTGTAATCATGGAGAGAGGTACAGAGATGAATTTAATGTCAGTGGAATCAGGGTTGCCATAGGAATATTGTTTGCAGGTTTACGTTTTGCTTCAAGTTTTGGAAGATTCGCTTGCAAACCTACATTAATTACCTGGATAGCTTATAATTTACATAGGTCTCTTGAGTAACTGGTTAATTTTTGGCAGTTCTCCATAAAATTCCAATCTATCGTTGACTAAGCCTTAAACCTTAGGACTTTTCAAACCTAAAATTTGGTTCTTAACCTATTAAGTCTGGGTATGATCCTTATAATCATTTAAAGCTTTTTCAATTTTCTAAACTTTCGAACTGAAGAATAGATAGATAATGATGCAGGTGTACTTTTTGTCTCAAATGGTTGCGTCAACTACATCAACTAACGATTCTTGCTTCGATTTTTTTTGTTTTGGAAATTTGGAACATTAATTGAATTTCTAAATTTCAGTCTCGTATCTCGTCAGAATAGAGATTTGATAGCGAATTAAACGAAATCCATGTTTTCAAGAAGGTAATTTATGTTTTCCCAAAACTCGAACTTGATTTGCAATTCGGAAATAAACTATATTCAGTTTTGATTTTTTACAATTCTATCAGCTCAAAGCACAATTAATTGAAAAATCAGTTTTTAAATTTATGACTTACTTGTTGACCATGAACAAGGAATTTTGCTTTATTTTGTTTCCCCATTGAAACTTCATAACAATAAAGAAAAGGGATAGGGAGGTGAAGCAATTTAAATTATTTTGAAGTTCCAAGCTTATCTATCAGTTTCAGTTATTGTATATTTTTTTTTATTGTTTGAATTACTTTAACTATAGTCTCAGTGGCAGAAAATGTCGAGTCTTTACTGTTGTTTAGGATAACGAAGCGATTAAATGCAGAGTCAGAAACCAGAAAATTTTCAAAAAGGCGTCGTAAAACTCCGGGTTTTACGCCTTTTAAACAAGTTGAAATTCCTGAAAGTTGGAAGTTCGAAACGCAAAGTTAGTTTTTGCATTGTTCTGTAATTTATTGCTAATTACTTTGCATGTATTTTGATTGAAATTTGCTTCAAAAATTATCAAAATATCTACGAAAGACTGTCTTCTCCCCAATTTCCCTCGCCTTTCCCCACCTCTGCCATCCTTCTCTTCGTTTAATGTTGAATTGGTTAATATGAAAAAATTATTTAAGAGCTACGGGAAGCAATACGTACGTCAGTTGCGCACTGCCATTACGATGATCCATGCAAACGCGAAAGACTCGGAAATGCTGTTTTTGAAGCGCTAAGTGGACAGAAAACGATGAAAGCAGCTGCTAGTGCACATGAGGTTTATTATTATAGTATTTCAATATAAGTAAAACCTTGGACTTAATATCTTCATTGGAAATTATACCGGATTTGAAGTTGCACTTTAGGTTTGATCTCTAATCTCTAAAGTTTTCCTACTTCTATTTTTTTGCGTGAGATGTGAATTTTTCAACTACATCTCCATATTGTAATTTATTCTCTGCATGTGGTAATAAAAAGGAATTTATGTTAATTTTTTCTGTAAGTTTGAGCAATTTTGTCCAAGACTAATTGAAGCTGATTGAAAGACGTAAAATTTGTGAAAGAGTTGCATATTGTTTTGCTTATCGAATATTATATGGTGGAAGAATATTTGGGTGCACGCAAAGTAATCAGGAATTTTTTGTCAAATCATTTTCGAGGTTTTACAGGTGCCATTTACTACTTTGCAAACTTATTTCCATCGTTCGCGAGCTCGAATGGCAAAAATAATGAATGATAATGACGATATACCGCCGAAACAAATTCAGATCCCCGTATCTGTAAATTTTGACCTTCTTTAGTTCGAATCAAATTCATATTCTAATTTAAATTTTAAGACTATTTTACCTGTTTAATATGCTGAGTCTTTAGGTTTCATGTAAATTTCTTATTCTTAAGTTTCTTGAAAGTTTTACACTTTAAAAAACTGGCTCAATCTGGATAAATCTAGGCAGATTGTGTAAAATTCGCTTCACAACTCTATCACAATGCCAACTTTAAACTCATTTAACTCTCGACATTTTCGAAACTGAATTCTAGCTTACTCTTTCTTCGTCTGATATGGATAACGCGCTCGCAGAAGAAAAAGTGTCTCTGACACAGTCAAAAAAATCAAAGCGATTGCATTCATTGTTGGATGCTCTTGTGGCTAAAACGGTGAAAAGTGATGTCGTGATTAACGGTAATTCAAACCATGTTGAATCGTTATTAATTGAGAAGCTGCAAAAATATGTGTGATCTAAAAGTTACGATCAGATGAATGTGTCGGCTCAAGTTAGCTATTGAAATTGCAAATTTGTCAATACTTTAATTAATCAAACGACTTTATATAACGACAGGTGATTCCGTAGTCCCGTCATAGCATTCTACTTTAAATACGAAGACTGCTTCGGAGCTGTGAATTTGCAGAAAGTTTGCTACCCTCATATTTTACACCTCAAAAACTGGGTTCCGGTAAAAGAAAGCCGAAGGAAGTTCATCGAATAGTGCCAGCATCAGCAACAGAAAATGAAAATCTAGAAGATTGTGAATCACCAGACTGGTTCAGTGATCAATCACAGGTATTTTTTTAAAACCTTTCAGCATTTCTATGTTATTTACGGTTTGAGTGAGGCATCCAGTCTCACATCAAAATAATACTTTCGATCCGAAGAACATTAGTTCTATAAAACTTTTGGTTGCATGATTTCTTTTTTCTGCATTTTCTTAAATTCCATGTAATCTAGAATGGTTCTGCTGAAAGTATTACTACCAAATCGAACGAAGTAGTAACGAAGTATAGTAAGGAAGAAGTGATGGCAATAATCATTTCTGCAATATCGGATTCTTCTCTGGATGCAGATACCAAAAAATCAGTAAAAGAAATAATTGGCGGAATACTCGACAAATCGCTGAATGCTAGTGTAAATTACCAGGTCACTTCCCTGATGTCACTTGTTTGCAAGATATGTGCACTTTTTTAAGATTAAATACTACTTTCGCAGAGTTTAATGTTTATCAAGTTGAGCAAATTCTGGAGTGTCCGGATGGAATACTGCACAAATGTGCATCCTTAAAAATGAGTTTTGTTAAGGTCACCTCCCTGATCTCACTTGTTTGCAGGATATATGTACTTTTTTAAAATTAGATCCTGCTTTCGCAGAGTTTAATGTTTGTCGAGAACAAATTCTGGAGTGTCCGGATAGAATGCTACATGAAAGTGCGTTTTTAATTACTATCATTACTTTGGGCTAATTGATTTTTGGTGTAATTGGTTTTGTTTAACCTTCTACATATCTTACCAAGTTCCTTCGTACCTCAGGTTTATGATGTTAAATTTCCGCGATTACTCCCGAACAATTTCAGATGAAATTGATTTCGATAGCGCTAATGAAAACAAGGATCATGCACTTTGTTTGTCGTCTAAATTGCAAAACTACGAATGTTTGGATAAAACAGAAAAGTGCGTAAATAATGTTTATCGTTTCTCGCGTTATTCAAATTTGCAGCAGGAAGCGTTGCGTAAAGCTGTTGCAATGTTAGTCTTATTTACTAGTAATAAGCAGCCTTTAGGAAACTCTCATCGGATTTCATACTTAAATATAACCCAACTTTTCAAAATGGACTAGAAAATTCTCAAATTTATATGAAATAAATTTAGGGTAATTCGTGGCGAATGTAGTGTTATTGGAGCATCAAGTATTATGGAATTACCTACATCAGCCGTGCATTCTTATGTTCATTGTGCACGAGCTGCATTGGTGACCTTTTTGCCGCAACAAGCTGGTTAGTTCAATTTTTCAATCATTAAAATTAAAACAAAGTCTATAATGTAGTGTGTGAATATATAATCAGTATCACGCTTTTTATAATAGGCCACGTATTGCCGTGAAGTTCTTAACTGATTAGCTACTAATTAGCCTTTTTTAAATATTTAGACTAAGTTTTCATTCCATGAAATCTTTTTTAAAAAACAATAGGAAAACTATTTTTAATTGCAGTTAGTTCAGATTTCCGATTTTATACCTTGAAATCCAGTACTTCCACAGATTAGATTATGATACTTTTGATCGCTTCAGCACGAAAATTTTAAGTATTTTTGTCCTTAGTTCTAATGTGTTTTAATGTAAATTGGATTTAGAAACGTTGAATAGAACAATAGCAGCTGATGAATGTAATGTACGTAGTAATTCTGTTTCGAAGGAAGTTGAGATAGTGATCTCAGATCTTATGAAAATTTCATCGCACGATCTGAATGAACAACAAAAATTGCGCGCTGCACTTTCTGAAGTTTGATTTGATTTCTGGTTTTACCTCCTTTTATCAGCCTTATTAAAAGATGGTTACAGTGATTTAAAAAGATAATTATTCTGGAGTGGTTGAAGTATTTCATTACCGCAAGTCCAGCAAACCTTAATTGATAGTATGCATAGCCATCAAGAATAATTATCTTTCGTAATTCATGCAAAGAGTATTTAGTATGTTTGTATATTGCTATGGTGTTGTCAAAGCTGCATCTGTAAATTTATACTCACAGTAGATAGTTGTTTTCAAAGATATTTAGATTCGTAACGATTTTCCGATTATTTTAATGCACTAATTTGTTTAACTGTTTTAATTGCGACATTAATTTAGGTGAAACATTGATATTTTATCTTTGAAGGTTTTGACGAAAGATGTTCCAGTCACAGAAGTTTCTAGTAAATATGGGATAACAGTTGATGCGTTTCAACCATATATTACGAAGGCTCGCGTGTTGCTTGGTCAATCACCTTATCCAACATCGTCTAATATCAGGGTTATACTTCGTAGTGTTCAAAAGAAACTTCATTTCATAAAATCTTAGATAGGATAAAAGTTTTGAATGGGATTGACATGTTATTATAGACAATGGTAGCTTTTAAATCAATATCCTGCATCATCTCTGTGTATGAGATTTAGTCGAGTTAAGACTTATTTCAGGAAACGTTAACGAACTTGGATGCAAAATTGTCAAATGCTAATGGAAAATATGCAGATGAAGAAAAAAATTTGAACAAAATGCTCAAAAACACCGTACCTTCACTGGGAAATATTTCTACCGGTGATACAATTTTTACAAGTGAGGTTATAGTGATTTCTAGACCCAAGAGTTCTCGTACAAGTATTGTGAACAGTTTCCTGAAATCTTGAATAGTTATTCCAAAATTCAAAGATAAGAGAAAGTCAAGTGTTCTACAAAATTCACGAAAACTGCAATGATCCTTATTGATAAATATGTTTACGCTTCAGTTATATAGATTATCAGGAACATAATCTTTCAAAACAATTGGTAAGTTATTATACTTCAGTTATAAATTATTGTAAGATTTTAGCTTCTGGTACTGTCCATCCAAACATAACGAAAAGTTTTTCAAAGCACGAAAAACAATGTGATGTCGAAAATCTGTTAACGAAGGCAGGCTCATCAACCAATGACAGTCCTCAAACTGAAAGCTCGCTGAGTGGCTCAATTGTTGATCTTAGTAGCAGCGGTGACGAATTTGATGATGATAAGTCTTTTTTATTTTTATGTAAAGTACACAATATTGTTAGATCTTTTGCTGTAAATAAAGTTTAGGGAGCTAAGGGTCAAGTTTAAGATCAGAAAAATGAAATTGAATGTAATCCCATATGTAGTATCACGAATGGGTCAGTGTTATAAGCATTTAAACTGCCGAATTTTCAGCTAACTGTACCCAACCGAATACAGCCAAAATTCGATCTAGACGCGAGAAGCAAGTTGAAAATATGAATGCTGTAAGTCATGAAGAAATAGAAGAATCAACAAGAAATACTGCTGTTCTATATGCTGAAAGTGGAAGTGACTATAGCGATGATGAATTTAATGGCTGTTAGTTAGTTCTTACAAAATCTAAAACTTGACGCTAGTATTTCCCATCAAAGTTTTTTGTACCTGTAACCAATTTTAGTAACTAATGTACATTTGATATTTTTCAGTACCACGTTCGATCCGAGGCGTAGCAAAACTTCTCTCCGATACGAAGCTGGACAAATTAAGCACGAAGGAATATACTGGAACGCCAGAAAACTTGGCTATTAAAATAGATAAGGCAGTTTTTGAAAATTTTAAATTATATGGACAAAAGTTCTCATTAATGACGAACTCTTGCAACTTTGTGAACTCATTTTTGAATTTGAAGGTGAAAGGTTTTCTTAGGTTTTGCATAAATATCGTTTTCGCGGTGATCGGAAAAAAATGCGTGACGGAATTCTCGAAGTTTTATATAAATCGAAAACTCTTAGTGAAGCTTGTAGAGGGAATAATTTGGCTCCAACAACATTAAGTACATATGTTCGTCTGGTAAAAGTCCTCATCAATACAAAGAAAACTGTGAGTCTTCTGTTTATTTTTTTCTCGAAAATTTTCGAAGATACTAGTATTTCTTAATATATTTTTAAACATTTTTCTGATTTTGGATCTATTATTTTTTTGAATGCGGCTGTGGATTTATACGTTATTTATTATCTTTGTCTTTTTATATTTTTGGAAAATATGAGTTGGTTCACCTTTGAGAACATTTGCTTTTCTTTTTCTGAAAATTTTCTTATTTCCGAGTATATGCTTTACAATAGCACTTCATTTGATGAAACTAAATGTCTTTTATTCAGTGACAACAAGAACGAACTGATAAGTTATAGAGAAAATGATTTCTTTTTTTTGTTTGAAGGGCACAAAAGGGTTAGTTCGCGTCTTGTCTCTACCAAATACTGTAAAAGGGATTAAGAATGAAAATGATGCTAATGGACGAAATGAATTACGGAAGGGAGGATGTTCCGCCGAATCAGCTGAAAAGGTATTATTTATGCATAAGAATATTGTTATGATTATGCATATTCTTTCTGATTTTTCTTAAACGTTCGTTTTGTGGACAAGAGTTTCTCATGTGGGTGACTTTTTGTTTATTGTTCTATAAGAATTTTATATATTTTAAACCCATCAAAATCAGTTTATGTTATTATTTATATTCATACCATCCAAGTTAGCAAATACAAATACATTTAATTTGAGTATAATCGATTTTATGTTGATAAATTGGGATACAAAAGTTCTATTGTTGCTGTCATCCAAATAGTCACAACATTTGCTTTTTTGTGAGTTAAAATATGGTATTTACTGAAGCCGTTGAGGAAGAACAATTTGACAAGAAATGCGGCATTTGTGCTGTAGAAATATACAAAGTTATCTTATAATGGAGGAATCCTATCAGGTCTTGCTTCTCGAGAAGTATCTATCGTAGCACTTCAGTAGCAGTGACATTAGAATATTGCGGATGCGCACATAGATTTTTACTCAGTTTTCTTTTAATATAAAAATCATAGCATCTCAATTCTCGAGAAACATGCTTTTTTCAGAAAAAACTTCTGATGGGATCTTCTAATTCAGCCGAAGAGATTCATCGTGAACTTCTTGTTCAAAATGCTGACGTGATGATGTTACATACACAATCTATAATAAATAATGTGGAGAGCTTTTACAAAGTGCTGATTAATTACCTTATTGAACAACAGTACCGACGGTCAGAGGAAGCTCAGCAAGTATGGCATGCTGATCCAATATTCAATTTTTTACATAGTTTTGGATTACATATTTATAAACTGCTTAATTAAACTTATCTTTTTTGCTCGCAAGTCCTCATTTGAGTGACATGGTGTACTCCGTCAAAGTTATCTTTATTTATGTCTTTAATAAAATTTATTTTCCTGAATTCTTTTTTCATATGTAATGGTGAATGTAAGCTTTGAAATCTTCACAAATTTTAATTTCACATTAATTTCAGAAGATGTGCGCAACTTTGGAATGTGTATTACTCGATGGCTTATCGGTTACTGAAGCTTTGGAGGTTCATAAAGGCCCAGCAGAACATGTTTTGCAAGTAATTTTTCTCCAAGTTTAGTTGAAAATCATCATTAACGATGCTGCATTTTCTGGTTGATATAACGGGTATTTATTATGCGTTGAGCTGAGCTTATTCAGAAAAAGAAGAGATCTGAAGTATTGCATGTATTTAAGACCTCTAAAGGTTTTAACAATAGATGATATTCAACGATATCTTTTCGCTTTTCAGAGAAGACCTGCTTTTTTTCCTGGTCTGTTTTTTATTACTGCCTCTTTTCAAGTAAATATGGTTCATGATTGTTTGACAGTGACAAAAATGTTTTTTGGGAGAAAATTTTAATTTTGTCTAGAAAAGAAGACTATTTGGATCTTTATTGTTAGGTAGTGGACTTACAGTTTTCAAAAAGTTATGCAAACTTCTAATTTCTCTCTCATTTTGAATGCATACATCCATCCCTTTCAGCTAAATTTTACTAAACTTATTTTGTTTTTGTAATGAAAAATTTCTCGTCTTGTTTAAGAATGTTAGGGATTTAACAATGGTTGCAATGGACACGCAGAAATGTTATAAGTTTCCCATTTCTTGGTTTCCCTAAAAAATCTGCTTACTAACTTTTTTTTTGCTAATTTGCTTCTATAATTTTAAACAGTTGTTCATGCTTTTTGAGATAGCCTTTTAGATAGCTCTACTTTGGCTACATAAAAGTAGTGAACGGCCAGCAAGTTGCCGTTCGTATAAGTGATGTTAGTTTCTTCTGTTTCCTCTAGTTTTACGATCACATGTTATTTAATTGCGCCATTATTCTTGGAATCTTCAAATTCGTCGCTATAAACTTGATGTAGAAAGCAGATAAATGATATTAATAGGTGATCATTACCAGATGTGGCTCCCGGAAAGGATGCGTCTATTATTTACGGTTTTCCGAAACTTTCACATTGCTTTTACTTGTATAGTGTCAAATTTTAAATTCTGTTATTCCTAGCCTCATTTTAACCCTCTATTCTTCATTATTTCCATGAAGTTCCGGATCTGGAAATTTTTGAAACCACTAATGGCAAAAAGTACAAGAATAAAGTTTAAATAACTTTGTAAGTTACAAAGCTTAAGGACTTCTTTTAATAGCTAGCTTTTTACAGGTTTATTTAAGTCGATGTCGTGAAGTTAGTAAATGCATAAAGGCGGAATTTCCAAATTTTAAATCAAGTGTCGCACAGGCAATAAGTAAGAATTGCACGAATGGTAAACAAGATGTTGAAGGTTTGTTTTTTTACTAATTTCCTAATCCACTGAATTTATATATCAAAAATATTTAAGCCTGTACTGTGGTTTTCTCAATTTCCACTTTTATCGACCTTCGTCGTATTTCTAGTGGTGATACCCTTTTGTCAGTTAAAACACTGCTCTGTTCAGATTGTGTTTCAATAGTGTACAATAATAAGAGTGGAGTTACGGAAAACAGATCCGTGAAGCGTTCCAGCAAACGGCTTCAGGTTTGTTCTGCCTAAATTTTTTTTTGCGTTTTATAAGTTTCTTCAAACTTCAAAGGAGTTTCTTCGAAGTTCTCATACAAATTGCACTGATTTAAATGAGCAGATTAGATATACTTGATTTGTCATGTTTCTCTGCTCCATTTATTTTCTTATTTGTTTCATTGTGTCATGTTACTCTTCGTATGTCATTTGCGTATATCTTGTACTATAAGTGAAAACTTATTTGTAGAGGAAGGAAATCAAGGAATCGTTGACTACAGAACGGACTGTGGGAAGTTTGAAACACCTCAACTTGATCTTTTCTGAAGATTTTCGCAAGGTGTTATATGATTATTTAGAGTAAGTGGTTTAATGTTTAATGTTTTAAAATTTCTATTTTAAAATATTTTACAAGTTGTAGATAAATAGTATAGAAAGTGAAAATTGTTCACTGCCACGTTCATTCATACCACAATAAATCTGTTGGGAGCTATCAGCGGTTTTACGTCATTTTCTCACATTAATTCTATTCTTTTATAGCGATGCATGCATTGAGAACAAACAAGGTTTTAGAAATCAACACTGAAATTTATATTTTAAAATATTTTATAACTTTTGCATTTTTTGTCACGGTTTTTAAAAATTGGTCCGTAGGTTCTGTCTAAAATATGCATTGTTAATTTGTTTCAGAAAGCTCAATGGTGTGAATTTCCCTATTAAAGATTCCCTTATTGTTGGACTGGCAAAAATAATTATTGATGAATTTCCAATGAACGAGCAAATCGTTTTTGCCGATACAGTCTGGGATCAATGGTTGACAAAATACCGTAAGAAACATCCAGAATTTGACGAGTAGAAAGAATTGATTGTGAACAATTTTTGTATCTAGCTTAAAAAAATCAGAACCCTCCAGCAAAACAATTACCTCATAATGAACTGATGCACTACCTTTTATAATTATGTGTTGAAATTATAGTGTTTAAACTAATGACAACAACTGATCGCACTTTCACTATCAATTGTTTGGAAATTAAAATCATTCGTAATAACTCCGAGACATAAAACGCTTTCTCTTTTTCGAATTTTTTCTAAACGATTGCTTTTTCTGCTTTCCACCAAAGTTCTCTGGATTTTTACCACTTTCCAGAGGTACTGTTAATGAATGATATGAGTTTTTGGGCTTATTTGTTTTTCAAAAATTGTGGAAAATTTAGCGTAAGTAGATTCCAATCGCTATTCGAAGTCTTTACGGCTTGTGGATTGTAGTTACGAGTAAACTGCCACTTATTTGAATTCATTTGAAGTGAAAGATCCTTCATGTATTACTCCTGTTGCAACGTACTATCACAGAAAAAATGGAAGTGTCCCAATTCCTTTTTTGAATTCTTTTCCTGAACACTAAATTTTGTAAACTTTAACACTGCTCCTTGTAGTGCACGACTGTGGCATTTTTTAGTAGTTTGAATGCTGCTCCTTAACGAAAAATTATTTACCGGTATATTTGACTCACGCGATGTTTTATTTTAGTAACAGATTAGCCACCGCTCATCCATTTATTGTGCTTTATTCAGTTAAAATATAATATGAAATTTGATGGGGAAACATTTGTGTTTAACGATATCTGTTCTAAGGAATTTGATTCAAATGCTTTTTAATCATTTTCCTAGATTCGTTAGTCCATTTATGGAAATTTCCAAATTGTATCACTTCTTGGTCAGTACGCGTTTCTTCGGTTGATTGTTATCGATTGCTCACTGATCTCGTTTCAAAGACATGTCTTATTGCTTTGGCATTATGTACTTTTTTTCCTTATGAAGCGGTTGATCTTTTACGTGTTTTCTGTTTTTCTCCAGAAGAAATCATGTTATCAGTAGTTGTTGTCTTTAATGGTTCCCATTTTTTTTTTCGTAATACATCACTTTAAATCTGATTGATTATTCCAGTTTGTTGTTTGTTGCTCTTTTTATTCAACTTCATCCATACAATAAATAATTCGGTGAATGGTATTCAATGGATAATTGAGACAAAATTATTTCCTCAAATTTCCTAGAATTGGCTGTCACATATCTTGCAAAAGTTGGTTTTCAAGTCTATGGAAGGCTACGTTGAAGCATCGTAGAATTTAAAGCAGGCATTTGCTTTCTGTAGACAAACATCGTTAGTTACTGTTATTGTAGATTAAAAAATTTTTAAATTAAAACATGTAGTAATGAATTTTCGACATACATAGCAAAGATTTTCGAGCAAAAGTCTGTTAATGTCGGAGAATCGATCCAATGTGTTACAAAATGTCCGCGTTAAGGGCTTGTATCCATTGTCGTTATCGGAATGTTGAATTTTTCACTCACTGCCTCATTTGTTATCTTTATGTGAGTTTTTCGGTGTTTCAAATTGAATTCCATGCTGTAGTAGTGTACTAGAAATTACAAGCTGAACAACATTTTACATACGTTGCAAATTCATGAAATTGGTAGTGATGAAACCATATAGGAAGTGTTTTCTTTTCTCTTAATGCATCATTTCCAACAACCTAATTCCCTTTTGTTTTTTTTAAAGTTTCCTGCCTAAGCCTTCCTGCAGTTTCCTGCCTAATCCACTTCCTCAGTACTCATTAGAAAGTGTCAGTGAGAATTCAGGTATGCAGAAGAAATTAGTGAGAGGATTCTTTCACACATGTTTCTTTCTAACGATACCTTAAGCTCGTTTCTGAATAACAAAATTAGGCTGTACGCTTGCTATACTCTGTGATTCATGCGTCAGTCAATTTTAATTGATTCAATGAAAACACAGGTAAAACCATTCAAGCTTACAAAAAATGCTTTGCTTCATTTCATGGTCAGATCAGTTTAATGAGTCGGAAAATTTGAACTTCTGCTATGTAAGCGAAATGATATCGTTTCAACTGCTCAACAAAAACGCACTGTCTATCCATCAATACATCTTATTATCTTGAATGTCTCTGATGTTTTCACGTGTTATCAGTTACCTGATAGTGAATCTCTTGCCAATAACCAATTCTGGATTTGCTGTGGCGATGACTTTTGGATCAGTAGTACTTGTTCCATTCTTAATTTGCTTGATCTTTCCATGAAATTCATTAGATGCATTCAGCGAATTAATCGCGTCATAAATTTCTTTGAATGTTCTGAAGAAAGTGGAAAAACCTCACATAGTTAAGCTCATTGGTAAAATAAGCAAATGCAATCATTACCGAGTCTAAGTACACAACTATTATGTGTTTGGATTTTAAAGATATTTAAAACGATCAGTACTGCGAATTTCTCGTAGCCATGTTTAGCAAGAAAAAATTATAATTATAATAGATAAAGGGATAGTACGGTCACCACTATTGCTTTTTCATTATCAGCTGCTTTTGTTCTTATAGCTAAATATGATTAGGTTATTTTAATGCAAATTATGAGCAAAATCTTGCATAAATTCGGCTGCAGGATGATTAAAAGCTAATTCTGCACCAACACTAATGTTCATGTCCCAATTATTGTTCATGCATTCATTTTAGTCCCTTGGTGCTAAATTCTGTATGGATCTCGAATTCTGTATGGATCAGAAGCTTCGCATTACCTCTCATCCCTCCTTTGCGATGTAGAAGAAGTTGAAATCAATTAACATAAAAAACTTATGCATTGTTACTTTCTCACCTTGCTGTAAACCGACAATTTTCTTCACTTTCTTCTCTTTATCTTTCGTTTTGTTCGTATCCTTTTGTAGTTCCTTAGCTTTCCGTTTTGTGTTGAACATAACTTCACACTGTTAAATTTTTCAACCATTTTCAGTTGTGGTGGTTTGTTTTTGATTGGCGCTATTGCTACAGTACCGCTTTTATACTGCAGCATTGAAAAAGGTTGCTGTTGCGTAGTGTTTTATATTTGCAACGGTGTGTATAACTGATTACAATCCGTACTGTAGCGATGGCTAAGGTTAATGTTGATTTGGCTTCTTTGTAATATGAGTAGTATCTGATGTATCATACGTTTTTACCAGTATAATTTTTCTACTGTTTAATGATGGCATCATTTAAATAATGAGCTGGAAACAACACAAAAAGCTAGCTTGTTTTCGAGGAAGAAATTGGCATTCTGTACTTTGATCGTTACTATTATCAGTTAATTTTACCTTACTAGGAAATATATAAGCCGACTTATATCTAAAACGCGCAATTGATTATCATTCATTTAGTCGTTAAATGGAATAAACTGTTCGACAAAATCTTTTTGCTAACTCATCACATAGGCTATAGAATGAGGATAATGATCATTCATGGCATATTATAGAAGTCTATTCAAATATTTGTTATCGGAATCATTCAATACTGAATGGTATCAGACCCAAAAGGAAATAAAATGGTTCATTTTATCCAAAAGAAATAAGTGGTTTTGTCTCATAAAATACAGTTTCATTTATTTATTTATTAGCTTTTTTTTTTGTCTCATAAAATCCACCTTCATTCGCTCATTTCAAATCATCATTTGAAATGAGCGAATTTAAAAGCTAATAAATAAATGTCGCAATTTCATTTTTTCTATAGTCCGTAATTGAGAGATATGACATAAATTTCATATAATTATTTATTTCCAGGCTTTCGTAATGACAATTTTACAAAAGTACAAGGAGTAATTATGATAGACAAATCAAGTAGTCTGATCGTACTTTAGTTGAAAAAGAAAAAACTATTGAATTTTAGCATGAAATTTGAAAATTTGAAGTCCACGGGAAAATCTTTTTCCAGTTGACGATTTATCTTATTATTTCTCTTTTGAAATTAGTAAAGGTCGTTATCATCTGATAGCTTCAAATGTGTGCCTTACTGCTTCAGTACATTAATTTTACTTAGCGCCTTCAAGAAACCACATGTTATTTTTTCGCGAAGTCAAGGTATAAGTACGTTGATAATTTATGAAGAAAAAACCTGATACTATATCATAAACATTCCGAGAATCTTGGACATTTCATTACTTGTTCTCTTTGTTTGAATTACAGGCCAACTTCATTCTGCATTTTTTTCATTGACTGTTATTAGCCTTAGAAAATTTCCAAGGTAAATTGGTAAAATATTAGCTCCCAAGAACCATTGATTTAATGAAGGATTTTTATTTGTCGACATTTAAAGTTATACCGTGTCTTTTTGATAATGTTTCTGTTTGCATATCTTGGTTGTAACCCTCAGAAACAATCACAACATTGTGATTGTTTTTGGAAATCAAAGACATCAACAGTTGCAACATCTTTCTGATGAAGGAATGAAATGAACCTTCGCATTATTTTCACGACTAACAACAAAAGCTAACATAATTCAAGGCTAAAAGTTCATTAACATTTCAAAAATTTCTTTATATTTCGTCTTTCATTCTTTCCTCATTGAAAGGAAATATGATTGGTAACTTCGTAAATTTGTTAGAGATCGATTACGTTTCGCCAACTGAAGAAATTGAAAATCGAAAGACATACATTAAATGTCTTTCCATTTCCAATTTCTTATCCAACATTTAGTTCCAAAATGTGGATATGTTGGTTATGATCTTATGTTACCAGACTGGTATCTCGGGTGATGCGGGAGAGAGATGTTAAAGTACTTCTAGCACTTGTAAGTATCAAGGCGTTTAATGGCTAAGGTAAAATTGCCAATCTGTTAGAGCGTTTTTTGCATTATATCAGCTCTCGCATCTGTTAGAGCGCTGATATGATGCAAAAAAACTTTAACCATACATGAAATAATGTAAAGATGTGTCAATCTTGTCTTTTATCCACGTTTTAAGAGTCGCTCACCTGTTCTGCAAATTGTGTTCAATCCCGCTGATTCGTGAACTTCAGATTGGATTGGAAAAAGAGATTCAGATTCAGATTGGAAAATTTCCACTCAGCTTTATTTTGTTGGCATTTTATCATTAAATTTAGGGCAAAAAGACACATTGTCCAAACTTACAGCACGAAAAACATAATGACATCGCAATTTCACCGATTTAACAATGCTGTATTTCAGTATCATTAATTAAATTCTATATTGTACCGCGGTATACAATTGCTGAATTTTTTTAATATATCTGGCAACTTCTTTCAGCCTTCCGAATTTACAATTAAAAATTGCAAAATCGATTCGATTTGTTAAAAATGACTGTTTCTATAGAAGTTTTAGATAGACCATTGCATAACTAAGTGATAAAAATTGAAATTGTAGACAAGTGCTGATCAATAATAGATCCTTTGATTTCAAAGTCTAGCCTTTAAAAACAATACTGATACCATATAGGCAGAAAATGATAAATACACGATCAGTTTCACCAAGAATGGATAATTTATTCCTTTCATATGTCGAAGACAATAGAATCCTGGATTGACTTACTCGACACTCCGACACTTTTCTTAACTTTGATCCACAACAAATAGATGGACTGAATAGATGAGATAATCTAATCCGCTGATTATCAGCAAATCCCATGCGTGACTGTGCAAATTCATTGAAAAGTAAAATTCACCTATTTTTCCAGTAAAATGCAATAACTGCATCCTTCTTAATCGTAATAACCTATCAAAACAAAACAAATAAAAATTAGCAAAAGACCGTATGATAATTCTACCCTTCAGGTACTTTCATATATAAATTTCATCCGGAATCCTTTGTCGCATTCATCTTCCTTGTAAACAGGATAACAAAAAAAGAAAAAAACAATTTGGACAGTCATTTTTTGTTCTAAAACCCGCAGGTCTTTGGTATTATTTTAATTTTGTAGTTTTCTAAAAATCCATGCAAATTGCAGAATAATAAACTTTCAAGGAATTTACAAAGAGACACAATGTTGCAACAATAAAACTTTCCCGATCAATAAAATCCTCATTTTATTTCAGTGTAAATGAAAATGAATTATTGTTTCTGATAGTTGGTCCTAGTCTCAAACAACAGATAAAGTGGGAGTGAATTTTATTTCCCGTGAAATATTATTTTAAATACTCACTCAATTTAATTTTAAGCAAACAGTACGACTAAATTAGAACCCGACTTCGAAATTTATAAAATTTCAACAAAAAGGAGCAATGTTATGAGGGGACGCTAGGTAAATAAGACTTTCCGTACGATGATAGCTTCCTTTTAACAGTCATATAATTTTCAGTAATTGAACATCAAAACAAAACGAGTTATCACAAATAATAACAAAGTAAAACAAACTTCAGTCTCAATCAGAAAATGGGAAAAATATATAAATAAAAGCACAGTTATTTGTAATTAAATATATAACAGTTATATTTGATATATCAAATAAGCAAATCTGAAAAGTTCCAAGTTTCCGGCAAATAAATCTAGTAAAGATATTAATAAAATGAACGAATATAATAAGAGAGCAGAAACTATGCCTTAAATACAGCATGCTGCTAATAATGAGTAACAATAATATGTAAAAACAACTAGAGAAACGTTAATAATTAATTTGTCAATATCCATTTAGCAGTAAAAAAGCTTTCTGGGATAAGATGATTTATTATTAATATGACTGAGAATTCGTTGCACCATTCAATTTATAACAAAGATTCTAAATCTAGATAGCAACATTCTAAAACTTCTCCACTGATTTGAAATATGACGATTAGTTTTTTACTACGTTTAATTTATAGCTCAAGTTTACAAATATGATTATTAAGCCAGTTTTTGGGGAAAAAAAGTTCTCTCTTTATTTAAAAGGCTGAAGAAGTCTACGTTAGTTAATCGAACCAGAAGCTGATTAAAATAACAGAGTGGATGAAGTTAGATTGAAAGTGAAGAATTTCTATGGCATTATAAGTATATGATCAACTAGATACAAAAAGAAAATGCCTGTGAAATGAGGCAGTTTAAACGCTAATTTAAATAAAATGCCAAGTTTTTTGCATGTGAGAAAAAAGTCTGCATTCAACTAAATTCGAAACAGTTTTGGGAGTAAGACTTTTACAGGTCGATTTTACCCACTAATAAGATTGATTCCTCGCATGACCGATACTGGCATGACTTTCCAGCAAATGAAATGATAAATGCGAACATGCGTTAACAAACACAATGGCATCAACCGATAATGAACATATTTCATAAATCATAACAGTTTCCTGAACAGCCAATTTTGGAAACAAAACTTCATTTCAATCGAATTAACTTTTATTCTAAACCTAGAAATGTATCTTCGTATTAGAGAAGTGGCAAATCAGTCCAACTGATTAATTTGGAGTAGAAAATCTTTTGTTGCTTTCTTTCAACTTCCTTCTTTGAGTGCGAATTTATATTCCTCGAGTTCATAATCCATTATCAAAACATTCAAAAATATTAGTTCTACATATTTAAAAAAGCGAGCAGTAAAAATTATTTTAACATCCAAGACTTCGTATAAATTTGGTATTTGAAATATATGAAACTCTATGTAATATCAATTCCCCGTTCTCAAATTTCAGTTAAGAGAATGTTCTTCTCTCTTTGGTTATCTACTGCTTTTTGTACAAAAAGCTGTCCAGATATAGTTTATGCAAAAATTCTACAGCAAAAGTAGTAAAACCATGCATGGCTAACACTTAAATTACAAAATTTAGCAAATTAAGATAAGCACAACTCGCAAATCCCTTCCCATTTCGCCATCCATCCACTCAAGCAGCCATATACAATGATAGCATGCAAATGAGAATTAGCAACTAATTTACTTCTGATATGAAGCAATTTTACTGCATTATCTATTATTCTACCAACCCGTTAGCTCTCACGATGAACTGGTCTTTTTACATATGATATT